TTGATCTGCATCAGTAAGTGCTTCAAGTCCTCTTCACTTTCAGCAAGCAAGGTTGTGTCATCTGCATATTGCAGGCTGTTAATGAGTCTTCCTCCCATCCTGATGCTGCATTCTTCTTCTTATAGTCCAGCTTCTCAGATTATTTGCTCAGCATACAGACTGAATAAGTATGGTGAAAGGATACAACCATGACACACACCTTTCCTGACTTTAAACCATGCAGAATCCCCTTCTAACCTGCTGGCTACAAATTCAGGGGCTTCCCACTACCCCCTCAGGATGCCAACTGTAAGCAGGTCCCCCTCACTTCTGACCTACTGGCTCCCATTATTCCCTCAGGTTTGACAGTTCACTAGAAGGACTCACAGAACTCCTGAAAGTGCTACACTTACTATTATAATTTTATTGTAGCAAAAAGGATATAGATGAAGAGAGACATAGGGCGAGGTCTGGAAGGGATCTCAACGTGGAGCTTCCACGTCCCAAAACGGGACGCATTACCCTCCCACATGCATCGATGTCTATCACCAACCAGGAAGCTCAGGAAGCTTCCATGTCCACAGCCTTAACTGGGGCCTCATTACGTATGCATGGTTGATTGAATCATTGCCCCAACCCCTCTCCCCGGAGGTCAGCTGATATCACAGTTGATCTTTCTGGCCTGGCCAGCCATGGCCTGTTAGATAGGTGTGGTCTAGAGGCCTCATCAAAGATACTTTAATCACTAGGGAGATTCTAAAGCTTTAAAGGTTATCTCTCAGAAATCAAGGGCAAAGGCCAGATTTTCTGGGCAAAGTTAAACCCCACACTGACTATTGTGGCACATGACTATTCACTACACTACATACTTGATCTGGACGTACCATTCATTTTATGCATAAGCCTGCCCATCAACAAAGCGTTCCTGATTTTAACCAGCACCCATGAGCTTATTTGATCCTCAAGCCCAGGGAGGTGGGCAGGCAGGCCAGAAGATTATACCCACTTGCCATGAGAAAGCTGAGTGGGACCAACTGGGACCAGTGACTTGCCTGGAGTGACCCACCAAGTCACAAGAGGGGCTGGGACAGAAATCTGGCCTCTGGCACCTAGTGTCTTCACTTCCCTTTTCATAGATCCTTGTGAGTAGCATACTGGCCTTCCACCTAGAACATTCTTTTCCTTATAATGTTCCTTTCTGCAGCCACTCCTTCTCTGGGTCATTTGCGTGCCTTGCTGCCGCACACACCCACTCATTTTGTAACTCTGAGGACGGCAGGGTAGAGTGGAAAGATATGCACTTGGCTTCAAACTATTGTGACCTTAAGTAAGGCTCTTCACCTCTCTGAACCTCAGTAACTCCATCTGTGAAATGGGAGGATGAGATGAGTTTAATGTGCTGACAGCCTAGCAGAGTGCCTGGTGTGCAGCAGGTGCTCAATGAACTTTTGTTCCTATGAAAGCTGGAGGCCGGAAGCCCCTAACATCATTTTCTCTAAGCTACATGGTCATAAGGTGCAGAATCACAAAATGTTAGATCTCAAATAAATTTAAAGGACCATCTCACCCAATCCCTTCATTTTACAGAGGAGGAAAGCAGGACCTGGGGGGCTTCAGGGACCTGTTCAAAGTTGCAAAGTTGGGACGTGGGCCTGGACAGCTCTCCTCCTGCGCCACACGCCTTGCACAGCCTCATCTCGGGGAGGAGTTCTGGGAGAGCAAGGGAGGGAGAGTCGTGTGGCCGGTCCCGTGGGCCAGTGGTGCTCATACTGTTAGGCCAAGATGTCCTGCCTCCTACAGTTTAAATGCTGGCTCCCTGTCACCTGCCTGGTGGCTGGCACAGCTGGCTGCAGGCAGGCAGGACAACTGGGGGTGGAGACCTGACCTCTGTAAACATCAGGGCTGAGGGGGGCTGGTGTCTGCTGGCTTGGGGAGGAGGGGAAGGAGACTGCTTCTTGGCAATACTTTGAAGTGGGTCTTCTGGGCTCTGCCATCCACACTGGATTCCAGCCCTACATTGGCAAAGCGAGGCCAAGTAAGCCAGGTCAGCAGGGGACCGTGGGCAGAGGGGTCAGGCCCGACAGGCAGGGACCAGGAACATGCCGCACAGTGGAAATCTCCAGAGTGACCCACCCGAGGGACTTCAGGACCTGGCACAGAAGCTCGGTCTTCTGGGAGACTTTTCTCCCTACTTGGCACCAGCTCTGTGGACATGCTCCAATCCCAGCCTTTGTTGGACTGAACTGGCCCATAAGGTCTTGGCGGGCAGGGCCTGGGGCGGCTACTCAGATTAACTCCCTGGGCATTAGCGAATAAAGGCCTGAGCAAGGTGAGCAAAGCTCAGGGACACAGGTGGACACCCTGTGTGCCCGCGAGGTCAGGCTGACCCAGCTGCTCTGTGGCTCCCTGGCCGGTGGGTTCCTGGGATCAGGTTACACTGTGGGCTGTGCCCTCAGAGGACAGCCTCAGAGGTGACCGCTCTCCCCTCTGACTCACTGGGGTCTTCAGGACAGGGACCCAGGTAAGGCCTCAGACTGGCTGCTGCTGAGGATCATGGAACTGGTGCGTCTCCCACGTCAGTCAGGCTGCCCAGGGGCTTGGGCCACAGCAAATGGCTGGCCGCCTCGCAGGGAACATGTCTGCGGCACCTTCCTACCCAGCTGCACGCAGTTCTCCAGCCTTTGCTCTCCTCTGCCCGACTCCCTCTTATCCTATCTTCACATATTTTGGTAAGTGCTTCATGTCCATTTTTCGACTGAGGAGGCACGTAAGTAGGAAACTGAATAAACAAACAAGCATTGGCACCTGGGGCTCGTGGGAGTCTCTCGGTACCTGGGGAGGTTGTTGTAACTGCCCTGTTCTTTCAGGTGGGGAAACTGAGACTCAGCAAGTGACAAGACTGCCCCCA